CCCAACCCAGCCCAAATCAACCCAGCCCAACCCAACCAAACCCAACCTCTCTGGTTTTATGGACTCTGGGGGAAGTTGCAGAAGTTCTTAGAGTTTCAAAATAGGATTTAGAGAGAGAAACAATAGCTATAAGAGGTGTGAAATAAATGAAGGGGGCTAAATTATATCAGAAACGGTCAATACACTGGATTAGGTTGAGAAAAACCAGGAATTGGGCTGTAATGAAGCAGATTGAGGACTTAAAGATCAAAATAAAGTTAAACTATAGAAATGAAATTCCACTGCATATAAAATCACCAAGGCTTGTGGTGATAGTGAAAATTCACTTGTTATATGTAGCAATGCTCCTTTTAAAATTTCTTAATTTAAAAATTTTATTAGTACATATTTGTAGTACATAATGTTTGCATTACTTGTGGGGAGCTGTATATATGCCAGTGTTCCCTGATGCTATGCCCACAGCAGATGTAAGTGGTTTCCACTCTCTTCATTTAGCTCAGAGGTAAATGCATAAGTTTTTCTAGTACAACAACCTAGGGATCCTTATCAGTTGAGCAGAGTTGACATTACAGTTATAATTAATTTACTGCACATGTAATAAAGACATGAACTCAACCAGTATGTCCTCATCTGAATTCTGCTTTGCCTTTCATTAGGTATTATTGTGACAAAGTCAAAGTGATTTAAAATTTTCTTTTAAAAGGTTTTGTTTTTAATTGACAAATAATTGTACATATTTATGGGTGTAATGTGATGTTTCCATGTGCATATCATTGTGGAATGATCAAATCAGGTTAATAACTCTTAAATACTATTTATTTGTAATAAGAACACTTAAACTCTGTTTTTACTATTTAAAATACACAATGCATTATTATTACCATAGCCACAGACTGTATAGCACATTACCAGAGTTTTACTCTATAATTTAAATTTCAATGTCATCTATTCTTTACCTAAAACAGCATAAGAAATTACTTCATTTGAGGTAGACATTTCCATCTATTAAAATATAAACACCAGGAGAAAGAGAATCACTATACTATGATGTATAAAATAATTCTTCTGGCTGCTTTACCAAATTATATAGTGCATGCTTTACCTAAATTGACAGCCTCATTTATATCAGGCATTCTGGACCCAAAGGTCCTTACTAGCAGTTCATAATCACTGATTTTTTTTCTTATTCTGCCTCTAATGACTACAAGAAGTATTTCTGATTATGTGGAAGAAGGCTTCTTTATTCTGAAAAAATAAAAGACAGATGAAAGGGAAAGAAAAAATACAATGATCTCTGCACAGAAGATCCCCCAGAAAGTAGTCCCAGGAAGAGTTCAGAGGGCAAACAAGGAAAGGGAAGATGAGGAGAGACTCAAACACATGTTAGAACCTTATAACTATCTTACTAACAGATGGTTGGGTGATTGGTTTGATTTGTTAATAAGTTTTTAATCCAAAACCCAGGACATAAACTCTTGCAAAAATTTTAAAAAGAGAGAACAGTTTTATCATGGTATGATTAGGGGACACAGTTTCTGCTGTTGAGGAAATCCTTAGTTTGATGGGGACAGGTACATGGGTGCAACCCTGTGTGCTCATATGCATACACACACACACACACACACACACACACACACACACACACGCACACACTCAGACACACACCCCTGCTAAATTTTTCGGACAGTGTCAAACAGAACAAGAGGCCTATGTATGCACAAATATCTTTGCAAATATGTAAATCTCTATATAAATATTTGCAAAAATTCTCTAGTAATTCAAATAATCACATTTGGCTGAATTCATAAACAGAAATATAGGATGCTCTAAAGAAATATGGAGAGTCAAGGGAATGTGATTTTCTGAGATAGAGAAAAATTATGGGGGTGAATCTATAATTGGAACATAGGCACCAAAACATCTTAACTGTATCCTTATTGAATGACAGACCACATAGTGGAAAAACACAAGTAACAGCTACAACTGATGAGAGACCATTTCTACACAACATACTTGCATATAACACACACACACACACACACACACACACACACACACACACACACGCCACTTGCAGTCAGGGCGCCTGGATTTTATTGGCTTTTGTAGAAGAAAAATCTATCTATTTGATACTTAATCTTGTTTATTAACTTCTCTAAGCCCTGCTTCATGTCTTTGTTTCTTAAACTGTAGATAAATGGGTTCAGCATTGATGTTAAAACTGTGTAGTTGATTGTTGCAATTCTGTCCTTGACAGTATAGCTGGACAAAGGCTGGAAATAAACATAGCTAATACTCCCATAAAATAGAGTCACCACAGTGAGATGAGAGCTCCAGGTGGAGAAGGCTTTGCGTTTTCCAGGGGCTGAAGGAATCTTGAGAATAGCAATGAGGATTCTCAGGTAAGAGATGAGGATACAGACAAAGGGAAGCATCACAAAGGCTAGTCCTTCTGTCATGGCCACTACTTCATTAACAAAGGTAGAAGAGCAAGACAGTTTTAGAACAGGGTTGACATCACAAAAAAAGTGATGGATAATATTTGATGCACAAAAAGTGAGCCGATTTACTAGAAGGACATGCAGGAGGGAGTGGAGATAAGAGAAAGTAATGCAGAAGACCAGCAGCAACAAACAACACCTGTGATTCGTAACAGTGACATAATGGAAAGTGTTGCAAATGGCTACATAGCGATCAATGGCCATAGCTGCCAGGAGGTAACTGTCTATGTTTCCAAAGACCAGTAAGAAATACATCTGTGTCAGACATTCAGCATAGGAAATGGTCTTTTTTTTGGATAAGAAGTTCACTAACATCTTAGGGATGATGACTGTTGTGTAGCAAATATCTGCACAGGATAAAATGCTTAGGAAGAAATACATAGGGTTTTGGAGTTGAGGATCAGAGCGGATAGCCAAGATGATGGTCAGATTGCCCATCAGGGTGACCACATACATGATGAGAAAGAGGGCAAAGAGTGGCTTCTGGTCCTCAGGCCTGGAAGAGAGTCCCAAGAGGATGAATTCAGAGAGTCTTGACAGGTTGGACATTCCACAGGCTTGTATGCACCTACAGATAAAAACATTGTCAATGAATGGCTTTCATGTCACCTGCAACATGCATTGTCCCATCTTGTTCTCACACAGAACAGTTATTAATGGAGGATTTTACTCTGATATTTACTTTTCCTCTGAGTATGGAGAAATAAGAACAGAATCACTTCTTTTCATATTTGAGATCTATTTTAGTCTGTTGGGGCTGCTATAACAAAATTAAAAGCAGGGTGGTTTAAACAATAAACATTTATTTCTCACAGTTTTGGAAGATGGGACGTCCATGATCAAAGTGTCAGCAGATCTGATATCTGGAGAGGACTTGCTTCCTGGTTTTCAGATGGCCATCTTCTCGTTGTATCTTCACATTGGAGAGAGCAGAGAGAGCAAGCGAACTCTTCTTATAAAGGCACTAATGCCATCTGAAGGGCTCATTCTTCCTGACCCAATTACCTTCCAAAGGCCCGGACTCCAAATACCATCACATTAGGATTAGAGTTTTAACATGAATTTTGAGAGAACACAAGCATTCAATCTGTACAAATATCTATAGGAAAGATATACAAGGAAGAGAGAGCAAGTGAGAGGGGGACAGTGGGGAGAAGAGAGAAGGGAGAGATTGATCCCTTTTTGTCCTTTTTACCCTGAGGCTAATAATTGCAAGCATGACCAACTATGAATCAGGTTCAAGTCATCTTCTGATTAAGGATTTTTAGTGGCTCACTCACATCTTGATAATGAGATAGCTATCTCATCTAGCTTGTGGTTGACAAGTGACCTTTCTTTGATTATTATTATTTTTGTGGTAGGGGATCAAATCCAGCACCTTGCATATGCTGTGCAAGTGCCCTACCATTGATCTGTGTCTCAGCCCAAATAAATAACCTTCTTATAAATTTTGTTTCCACATTATTTACAGTTGATGCAATAAAGTTCCCTAAATAACACTGAATTGAATATACAAAGCCACTGAGAAAGAAAAATTAGAGAAGAGGAGAAAGGGTGAACGTATATGAGAAAATTCTATTCTAAACTTTCCTGAACAGAAGCTGAAAATCATATCCCGAAGTCAGAGAAATGTGACTCAGAACTAGACTTGGTTGAAGAAAGAGTCAACTTTAGAGTATAGATATAGAAAACATACTTGGCGTGAACATAAATGAACTCTCTTAGTGTCCAATGATGAGTAATTATTTCTTTGAGATATGATATTTATACCTCTCACCACATGTTCTCACAGTTGTTCTCTTCCCTGGCAAGGACATACGTCTTTTCTCATGTGTGCATTCCACTTTCTTCATTTCTGTTCCATGCAATGATCAATCAAAAAGAAGACAAATTGGTGTCAAGAAACAATATGCAGAAATTGTTAGAAAACCTAATTCTTGAATCTGAATGCTCCCTTCCCTGGGCTTTACTGTCATTTACAATCTGTGGATATTTATACCCATGCTTTCCCTCAGGGGTATCTTTTGAGAGTGTATGGCAGGGAAATGAGTAAGAAAACAAATACTCATTATCTGTGCAGAATTGTCTCCAGGAATGTGTAGGAAGTACTGGTCTTCCTTCCTAAGTGGCCCTACATCCTTTTCTTTAAACCTCCGTGTTCAAAGTGCAGCATCTGCTTAGCCTGGTGTAGGTATCCAAGATAGACGATGTTTTTGTGTTGATGACTCTTTCAAGCCATCCTAAGGTCAGAAGAGATGATATCTGGATCCAGTTTTCCCCTTAAACCTACATGACCTTGATAGGGCTTCCCTTTCATTGCCTCCATTTCTCCCAAGGACAACTACCCAGAGTAACTTCTGTCTAAGCCCTCCCAACTTTGGATATAAACTACTCTCTGTGATCTTATGACTCTGTCCTGTAGCAAAAGGTGCTGTCATAACCTTTGAACCCAACCTTTGATCACTCTTCCCTTACCAGGTAATTGCCAAATCTGCTGTTGCCATTCCTCACTTCCACTACTAGGGGAAACTAGCAGCTTTAGATCTTTTACTCTCCTCAATGCGCCTAATGCATATACATCAGGGTCTCCAAACGCCCTGCCTGAAACATATTGTTTATTTTCAATCACCTGTTGACTTTTGATTATATCTTGCAGCTCAACCACATCGCTTTCCTTCTATTTCCCTCCAGATTTATTGAAGTATACCTGACAAATTTGAATTTTATATACTTAAACTGTACAATATGAATTTGATTTGATGCTTATATATATATACATTATGAAATGATTACCACAATGAAATTAACACATCCATTACCATACATAGTTATCATTTTATACATATGTGTGCATGCAGGCAGATGAATGTATGTGTGTGTATGGTGAGGGTACTTAATGTTTACTGTCCTAGTAAATTTCAATTAAATTTCAGTATAATTAACTACATTTACCCTGTTGTACACTAAATCCCCAGGAGTTATTTAACTTATCATTGAAAGTTTATATTTTTGATTGACATCCCCCTAGTTCCTCTAATGCCTAGCATTTGGCAAGCACCACTATGATTCTGCTTCTATGAATTCACTTTTTAAAGATTTCACAGTTAAAGGAGATTTATATGTATTTTTGTTTCTGTATCTGGCTTATTTCACTTACCATAATGTCTTTTAGGTTTATGTATTGTCTTGGTTACTTTTCTCTTGTTACTGAGACAAAAATACCTGACACCCAGAATTAAGGAAGGACAGGTTTATTTAGTGCTCAGTCTGTAGAGGTTTCAGTCCATACTGTGCTGGCTCCAAGGCAGGGTGGCTCATGGTAGAAGGCAGCTGTTCATGGTGGCAGAAGATAGCAAAAGCAGCCAGGGAAAAAGGGAGGAGCAGTGGCAAGCAACCTCTTTCCCTCCCTTACATTGTATGCGAACTATCTGCCCCAGAGCAGGTGTACCACTCACATCCATAATTCAGTCATAAACTCTAAAAGCCTGCCCCTTGACTGCATGAGGCTTTGGTGGGACACATCCAGACACAAACCATAACATCTATATTCTTGAAAATGATAGGATTTTCTTTTTTTCTGTAGTTGACTAATATTCTTCTTTGTCTGTCTTTTCATATAATATTTAAACATAATCTATATATCTATCATATATTTGTTATCCATAAATACCCAGGTCAGTTCTATTGGCTAGTGCAAATAATGCTGCAATGATCATAATAAGGATGTAGATATATTTTCAATGTACTGCTTGAAGTTTTAAAATATATTAGAATTAGGATTGCTTGATTGAAAGGTAGTAATTTTTTACTGGATGAGTAGGAAGCAGTTAAGTTATACCTTTCAGTTCAACAACCTGTCAACTCATAGTCAATTCTCAACTTATAATAAGCAATTGCAATATTTGTAGTAATGCAATTATTCCATCTGCACATTTATGCTACCCAGAATGGATATCATAGGTCACTGATAACAAGGACTGATAACAGCACTCCTTCTCATCAGGAGAAGGTGGTTATGTTCATAGTACAGGAGAGCTAAAGCTATTAGGTATCGGTGCACTAGGAGTAATGTGTAAGGGAAAAAGAATCAAGGATAAACTATAAAAATAGATAGAATGAAGATGTTATTTATTCACAGGAGAAGGTTTGAAGAAGATGTATGAATTTGGTTGAGGGACTAAATTAAAGGTTCTGTCTTGATCTTGTTGAGTTTGTGGTAGTATTAAATACATGGAGACGTATCAAGGCAGTTGGATATGTAAATCTCAAAGCTCACATAGAGTTCTTTCTGCATGGAGAAATATCAGAGACAACAAAATAAGGATGATATTTGGAAACCACTGGGTTGAGTGAAAATATACTGACAAAGCACATAAAAGAGAAGAGAACTATCCCTGTGTCTTGTGATGGGTGGCTGGTGTGACACTGAGATGTCTCAGTGAGCAAAGACACTGAGAAGTGGCCGTCAGCAGGGGGAAAACCAGAAACGTTGGAAATGTTAGAAGCCAAGAAGATAATAGCTTCATAATGGAGCAAGAAATGAACTCCAGAAAACCTTTGAGTTACATGTTTTATTTTAAAGTTGGTAGAACACGTACAAACAGAAAATTGCAGCCTTAATAATTTTACTAATGTACCAATGTACCTCTGAAATTGTAGTAAAGATACAAATTAAATTCAAAGAAATTGTTCAGAAATATTTTAAAATAAGAGCACTAATTTATGGGATAGATATTTTATGTAAAGCTAAATCAATAGGGCTGGCAGAAATAATGGGGATTTTACAGTCAAGTTCAGTTCTGAACTTAATTTCTTCCTGTGTTACAGCTTTGCCAACACTATGAATGTAGATGAAGTATATATGAAAAATTTTAAATTTATATATTTCAAAATGCTTTTAATTTCAAGTTTTTCTTTACAAATTTCAGATAATAAAACCAGTGATGAGCCTAAACTTTTCTGGTTATCAGTATATATACCATTGATATATAAACTGATTTTGATGAATGTCCATTTTTAAAAGAAAGTGGTAATGGGTTGCATTTCTACATAAATTTTCATTAAATTGTAACCAATTCAGTTAGTTCTGGAATCAGTAATAGTATCTTAATGTATCTTTATTTAATTTCAACATGGAATTTACCAGGTAGATTTTGAATGGAATAAACTATTGCAAATGAGGATTTAAAAAATAACTCACAACAAATTAAAGTTTTAAAAATTGTTTTCACTGAATTGGAATGTACACACAAAAACATCTTTTTATTTACTAAAAAGCTGGTATGTTCAGAAAAGTGAAAGTAGTATTTGACACCCTGACTTCTCTAATGCTATATCAAAGTTCCAGGGTCTTAAAAAAATGAACAATAGACTTTTGACAAAAAATATGCTTCAATTATAAGAGTTTAGGCTTTTTTTGGGATTAAACTCTGGGCCTTCATAATTTTACTAACATGCCTATTTAGCTCACTATGCTTTGTTTTGGTCTCATTTTTAAAATTTTGAGGCAGGATTTTTTAAAGTCTCCAAGTTACCCAGGCTGGTCCTAA